AAGAGTAGCAATGTAGTTAGTTGGTGGGTGCTACTGACTGTTTGTTCTGCCTGTAATCAATGACTTTAAAATAGGAATAGTTATGTCTGAACTTTGGGGTTGCTGATCTGATCCTTTCAGCCCATATGTCATATAATATGCCATTTAGGTTTGAAATACTAATACATTATTCAGTGGATATTTCAACCTACATTACTCTGTAGTTCTCTTTATAGAGAGAATATGAAAGGATTGAAGAGGATCAAAATCAAGCAGGAAGTAAATGGGTGTATGTAGAAGATAGTGAAAGAAAAAACAGGAAATAAATGTGCAGGTATATTACAAAAATGAGTAAAAGAAGATGAGTTAATAATAAATAAATAGCATAAAGAATAATATTAAATGTAGGTAAATAGTATAAAGTATTTAATATGAGGAATATATTGTAGAAAAGTTGATATATAATCTTTTACCCTCTTTTTGAAACCTACTTTGAACTGACTGCACCTCTGTAAAAATACCAAACCTTCACAATGATGATAAACTTAAAATCCTTGTAGAGGGTTAGGTCTTAGAAAACAGTTTTTTATGCAATTCCTGAAAGGGTTCAGACATTTTTAATTTGTGCAGGGCACTTTCCATTTTTAGTATTTGATTTCACACTTTCATCCTCTGATTTATATACATATTTATGCTATTGATTTATTAAGATCTGAATTGGTAATTCTTTAGATAAGAGTTTTTCTGTTGAATAAAAACTACATTATAGATCACCATCTTTTAAACGTCAATATGATCTTGTAACAGTAAAAATTAATAATATCATGGTAACAAATCAGAAAATCAAATTAAGAAGATATACAAGCATATTACACTGTTGAATTTCTTACTGAATACAGCATGTCACGTTTCAGTCTAAATAAATACTTGCTGAAACAACTTCTGGCCTTTCCAAACCAAGATGTTGCATTGTATGATGATGTTACATTATTGAAAACTAACTTAGTAAACTCTTGGGTTTGGAATCAAACCTGAAACTTTCTGCATGCAAATTCTCTACTAACTGAGTCATAGGATTAGCTATTGTTACTTAGTAAGAAACTTTTTAACAACATAAACTCGCACAATCATTATCTTATCTTCAGTTGTCAGCAGTTTATTTTTTTTTGATATTCTCACAAAGTTACCCAAGTGCTATCTGTATTAGTCATCCTTAATTTTGAATTGACAGAATAGAATGAAAGCACCTAGTCAACAGCACAGCACTCACCACCAACTATTGCCTGACTGAATACTGGGATTTGACTCTCATCTTTTAATACACCCATGACCTCAAAGTGTGATGCCTGTAAATTTTTTTATAGTGATGGGACATGAATGATGGACCCACAAATCCATAGTCAGCAGTTTAGATTGTTAGAAATAAGCTGAAGCTAAAATATTAATAATGGCTTACTTCTTGTTTCAGATTTTTTTTTATGGCATGAAGTATTGGAAAAACATTTTATCCAAAATTACAAATGTCCATAAAAAAATTTCGATTTTATTGCAAAAATTCTCTGAAGCACATTGTTTCTCTATAGATCTAAATAAATCATTAGGCTTCTGAATCAAATGAAATACTTTTTTTTTTTATGTAAACTCTTGATGTGGAAAGGATTGTTCATCTGTGTCACACCTTTCTTCACCTAGCATGTTTATGTGTTATATGCTTTGACAATTTAGGCAGTTATCATAGATAGAATCTGCAAAAGGAGGGTTAAAAAAGGTTCACTAAACTAGTTGTTGTAAGGTTGCTCCATTTCTTGGACTTACTTTGAATAGAAAAACAACAACATGTAAAACACAATACAGCTTACTTAAACCTGATAAATTATTGCTGAAGAGTTTTGGATCCATTAGACAAAAATAGAAAATATAATTATCATATTAGCTGGGAAAGAGTCTCATAAAAAAAAAAGAAAGAAATTCAGCAACTATTCTAATGAAAAGCTTTGAAAAAATATTGCATTACATTAATTTTATTTAACAAGTTATCAAGCATGAAGTAAAAAATTAAATAGTAATGACAAAATGTGCTCTGCACTTTTGGAGCTATGGTTGTATTATAAGAGTGACTGTCAAATGCCACTATTTGATTAGATTAGCCCACAAGTTGGCAATGGGTGTTGTTGTCTAGATGCCCTCTATTTAATCTATCACTTCAAAATTAAGGACAGCTTGTGCAAATAGCCTTCTAGCAGCTTTGCATAAAATTCTACAAACTTGGATTGACTAATATCTTGGGAAAATTTACTGATTTCCTACTCTAAATGCTTTAAAATTTAATTAGACAAATTTTGTTTTTGTGTGTAACTAATGTAAACACTTAACGTTAATTAACCAAGTCTGAAAAAGACGCAATGAAGTACTATTTTACCTTTGGTGACACTTAAGTTTGGTCATGAATAGGACTCGAAGACCAAATACATGACTAAGCTAAGCAATTGAAAAACGAATTAGATCTTTGTCTTTAAAGTTTGTTTTACCTCCTGAACAAAAATGTTGGACATGGCCATTCATACTCAAATGAGCAAAAAAAGATTGATAAATTTGAAACAAGTTTTTCCAAATATGTTTTTTTACATTTCTTTCATAATTTAAGAAAATATGTTTTCTTCCTAATATACACTTTTAGGAATATCACATCACCCCTGTGAAATAGTTTCTAAAGAATTGACAATTTAGAAAAAATGTAAGGGACTACTGGAAGTAATCCTGCAGTGTGGATGATGCAAAGAGTCACTCATTGTGGGAAACTTATTTGTGACAGCTTTTTCTGGTGTAGACTCAAGAGTTGCTCTGTAACATCAGAACTCTGAAGACTTGATGGTATTTTTATACGAATTGACGAAAGATACAGCTGACATAATAATTAAAACATTGGTGACAAAATAACACTAAATGGAACAAATAGAAGACTTGAAACACTAGTTTCAACACTTTCAAGAGTCAAGTTCAGTCTCACTTTGTATTATTATAGGAAAACTGTTCAATAATGCCTGTGTGACCACAGAACTTCAAATTCCCTTACGGACACAAGACGTCAGGAAGTGACCTTGGGGGTGTTGAAATTAGGCAGGCTTTTGATTGAACAACATTTGACGATTTTTATTTTTAAATAGTCTTTTCTTTTACAAAGTCTTGTTAATTTCTGATCAATATGTTGGCCAGAATGTCATATGGAAAATAAAGGCACTGTTTGTGTTTTTGTATTTAATGTTTTTTGTGCTCAGAAAAATTATTGTGTCTATACTACATTAACCTTTCTCACAGGACAGGTATATTCTTATATATATATATAAACACCTTGGTTTATTCATAGGTGTGGTTCTATTTGAAGTTGGTTTAATAGCATTTAATTACACTTTTATAATATTGAAGCATCCTGGATCTTGTTATGGATTAATCCTTAGGCTACAAAAAGTACACTAAGGTAGAACACCTCAACCAGCATCCAGGAATCACAGCTACTCATCAACAATGACAAAAGATAACACACATTCTAAAGGAGTTTGGAATTATTCTGAGTAAAATATCACAGATATCCAGGCACACCAACAAGAACGAGGAAATCATCTGAAGCCAACATTTTTTGTCTAGTTGTTGAGGGAAAAGTGCATCTGTCCAGTTTGCAAGTAAATCTCTTATTAAAGGTACAGCAAATTCAATCTAGGTAAAAAGTCCACCACCATAGAATCATCAGATTCAAAAACTGGAGCAGAAGAGCAACAGTATTACCATAATTGCTACATACAACTAACAGAGAAATTAAAAATGTTATAAGAATATTATAAATCAAATGAGTAATTTACAAAGCAACTTTATCTTTTCCCAAGAGACACTTAAAAGGAAGTGGAGACAAAAGGCATGGACTAAGCTCCATAAACTTCAGTAAGAAATAAAAACATCCCCAAAAATCCAGAAGATATAGATAGTTGAAAGCCTCCAGAAAAAGAAAAAACCTCCAACACTACAGGTTTTTCCCAATCTAAAGAATCTTCCATTACCAGGCAAGTTCAGAATAGAGAAATAAAGTTCAGTAAAAATAGGTCATGAGAATATATATATATATAGAGCTACACTGAAATAGACTAAACACCAAGAAAAATCAGGTACATGAACAACATGTGGAAGAACCAATATAGCAGAATTACTTCTGAAAACATCCACAGACACATGATCTGAAAATGAAAGTCTAACCTTGTATCAAGAAATTACCTTCAAACATCCAAACAAGTACATCTGAGACAGATTGAGAAGTCCTGTCTTGTGTTGGAGAATGAAATAAAACATGGAAGATAATTTGGGTAAAAAAAATTCCAAAGATAAAAAAATATTGTCCACCAGTCTCAGAAAATGCTGTAAAAACTAAACATACATAGCTAATAAATAATTAAAACTGAATGCCAAAGAAAAAATATTTGTAAGCTATAAAAAAAGTTCTAAACAAGAAAGTTATCTGAAAGACTGGAATTCCTGTTGAAACACGAAAAAAGTGATGGGTAGGTAGCATAGAAGATAATGATATGTCCAAGAGGAATGATATCAGGATGGATACTAATGGTTTTAGTAAAGTGTTAAAACCACCCACAATGTAGGGAGTGGAGTTCTGGAATAATTACATTTGTAAACAGTCCATTGCAAGACCAACCTGCATACAAAATAATAAAGCAAGAAATAAGATTGTATTGGAATGTATTATATTTGTTATCAACGGCTAGAATCCAGAGCTGTGTATTATTAGAAATAAAAGAATAAGTTGAACAATTGCCAAGTTTTTATAGTTAAAGCTCTCTTCGTCAGATCATATAGTTTATTGAACAATTTTGATTATCTATTCTTTAGTTCTATACTAAATGTATGGCATGTAAATCAGTTACAAAATAGTAACTTTCTACTAGTATTTTACAACTTTTAGCTCAAAATGTGTTTGATAGTACATATGTTAATATCTCTAAGTGCAATAAGCAAAATTTAGATACTTCTTAATACATAATTTATTTCATGTGAAAGGAACAGATACATGTACATTTAGGACAAGCTACCAAATTTTAACAAAAGTGCAAGACAATGTACAATATAAAACAATGCAGTAAATAAAAAATCAAACACTTTACACTAAATATAATAGCTATTTCTACAAATGAGATACATATACAGACTAACAACAAGTAAAAAATACTTCTGTTTCTTTCAGGTTATTGCTCCAAAACACACATACTCATTTTAAAATAAACAACAGATAATATAACTGTACTCTAAAGTAGAACATGTAACAAAAAGAGGAAAGCTTTTAAGTAGCTAATTAAATTTAAAACAACAATGTTTAACAGGTACTTTCAGAACTGCTAGTACATACATACATACACTCTAGACCCCTCAAGAAAAAAACTATAATTAGGTGTTCAGTTTTGATAACAACTCTTTATGTTAAGTATAAAAGTTTCACAAACAAACAATCTTTTACAGTTTAATGCCTGGTCACCAGGATGATAAAAAGACTATTATCATAATGAATAAGTAAAATGTAAAAACATACATTTTTTTTAACCTCCAAAATTGTAAGGTTACCACAACGTTTCCATATACATGTTCATACATTCTTTTTCCTAGAAGTGTACACCAAACATGGAACCCAAATTATTGCACTAATTATAGGCTATACACCAAAATTTCTTAACAAGACAAAACAATACTGTTGCTAGTGAACCATTACTATACCCCAGATATCAATAAAGTTTGCCACAACTGTATCTTATTCAACAGTCTAGAAAGATTATCTATGAACAGACAAAACAGACACTCTTATCTTCTTCTTGAACTTCTAAAGTAATTTGCTGTCCAACAATACAATGTTGTATCAAAAAGTCTACAAGCCACACTGGCCTCACTAAATGTAACAATGACGTACCGAGTCTGACAACCATATTTCATTCACTAGTTACCAATACTGATCTTACCTATTATAACAATGGTGCATTAGTCTTGAGACCATAATTCATTTAATTGTTACAAACAGTGGACTGACTCAATGTAACAATGAAGAAGTGAGACTCGTGTTTACAATATCTAAAGATACTGGTCTAATCCAATGTAACAATGAAGTAGTATGAATCAGACCACAAACTATATTTCATTCACTAATTACAAATACTGACCTGACCTATTGTAACAATGGACCATTCAAGACTACAGAACATTTTTCCTTTAATTGTTACAAATACTGATCTAACTCGTATTTTCTACAACAACTAAAGATAATAATGGCTGGAGACGGATTGAATGGGTAATGAAGAAAAACTTTAATATAACAGCAAATGTACAACGTTTCGACAAAGTTTTGTCATCATTATTAGTCTCAAAGTGGGTTCCTCGTCATCGAATTTGAACTAAAGATAATGGTTTAAATCATGTAACAATGAAGCATTAGGAGCTAGTCTACAAAACCCTACGGTCATAACGATACTTGTTTGACTCAATGTAACAATGAAAAACCAAGATTTAAATCTATAAGCTGTAATTCTTACAATAACTAAGGATACTGGTCTCACTCAATGTAATAACAATGCATTAATACCAAGCCTATGAACCACACTACAAAAATTCAGGGAAAATATGAAGACATTATTTAATACAATGCTTTAAGAAAACTTGACTCCTATGATGATGTAATACGAATGTTTTAGTGTGTACTTGTCAAATGTCACATCTCAGTAATAAAGTTGAAAAAAGTCCAGAAAACATTAAGTTATAAATATACTACACCAACCAAAAACTTCTGAGTAATTACATACCTTAAACTATAAGCTGTACATTTAAGAAACAGTATAACAAAAATCTGATCTAGTTTCACTGATGGTTTGATAAACAAACCAGATAACTGATGTGCTTTATCACAATATCATGACACTCAACCCAAATCTATTCCTCATGTGAACAAATATACCAATAAGAACAATTATCCTAGCATTACCTCCTACACCATTTCCAGGAAGACTTTCTTACCAGTTTGTTCAGTGGTATCTACGAAAATAAGCAAATTTAGTATTAACACTACTAAAATGTATTCAATGCCTGTTTTTCAAGTACTTCTAATTACTTCCCAACAGAGAATTTGTCTCACTATGAACTGCATTTAAACATGAAAATAAAAACAGTTACCTCATAAATTACATCACTATAACACTAAAATTACACAATGTTACTTGAGTTATTACAAGTTTTTATTAATGTGTCTGGAAAGTTCCCAAAATCTGCATAAAACTAGTATTTTATTCAGTCAACCTTCACTAACTTTAAAAAACTCTGCTTCACTTTCAACTTAGCTAGACAAAACATAATCCATTTATTTGCCACAGAAACATTGATGATGTGACTCGTGAAATTGTAGAAATACATTATTCTTAATCATATTTTCCTCATTTTTAAAATATCTGCACCAAGTTACAAAGCACTGTGTGAATATGTATCATATATACATATTCATTTCTTACAAAACACCTAGTCAAGTTTTATCATTACTTTCTCTCAAAATTTTAGTTATCTGAACTTCTTAAAGTAGTTTAATTTGGAATTTCATTTTAGGAAAGGATTTGTTGTTTCAAATATAAAACTCTGATATTTTTCTTACTCATCACTTATTTTGTTAAGTAATGTCCAACGACTTTACCATATCATCCTGTGATATCATACATACATACATTTCACAAACATTTTGTATTATAATCTTCAATACAAACATCACAAACTGGTATTTTCTGAAAACTACTATTAGAAGGACACAAAAAATTGGAAGGAAAAATGTTTTTATAACCCAGTGATTTTCTTATTTTTCTTTTAAAAAGCAAGTAACATGTAAGCACTTATTATCTGCATTACTAAAAGTATGTTTCAAGACACTGAGAAGCGATAATTAAAATCATACATAAGAACAAATGTTTATTTCAGATTGTCTTTATTTTTTAGATTTAACTCACTACCCAAGTAACAATACATACAGTTTTCCTTATCTCTCATGAGCTCCCAAAGTTTTCTTTTTCTAAACCCATTTAAAATATTGTGGTAAAATCTGGCATCTTCTTAAAGATGTCAAAAATAAACCATATTTATTGATTAATGACTGTTAGTATTGTAGTGTCACTACAGTTAAACATCCTTCTACTTGGTATATTATGCTTCACATTTTCAAATTAGAAAATTAAAAATAAACCAGCATGATTGTTTTTCATTGACCTCTCTTAATAATGATTTTACAAGTGAATATATATACTCTGAATGTATATAACTCGTACAGAAAACCTCACAGGAAGTACAAAAATCAATTGCTACTTATTATTCCTAATAATTAATGTTATACAAAGGCATGGAACATCAATCAAACAATTTAACTCTATTAGAATTACAACTGCAAAATATATTTATTAATAAAATTTCTTTTTGGATTATACATTTACTATTCTCATTTATAAAGTAAAACAGCTTTCCAAAAGTTATATGCACAGATATATCTCATGACTTATTAAAAGAAATTGAAGTATTTCTTTTGGGCACTAAGGGGGTTTAAGAAAACTTTGAACAATACCAGGAAACACGTACTGCACTTTTCATTCACTGTAAGACCAGATCTGACATTAACATATCTCATGCCAAAATGTATTGCAGTGGGAACATTTTAGTAGCTAGTTCAAATTTCAGATTCTCAAGTACAACAAAAATTTTATAAAATCAAATCCACTTAAGTTCAGTGCTGTGTAGATGAGAGGCAAGTTGTTGGTGTTGGTTAGAAAACAAGGGAGGTTCAGAGATCTGTGCACAGCCTGGATGAACTGGTGGTGGTGGAGGAAGTCCCACCTGAGGAAAATGAGCAGTGCTGACCATGGTGTGATATGGAAAAGCTTCTCTGAGAGGAAAGGAGTACTCAGTGGGATTGGGAGAAACCTGAGGAACCATGACAGATGGAGGAGGCATATTAAAGCTTGGAGGTGGAACAGACAAATCAAAAAGCAAAGGAAACACTGGATATTTTGTTCCTTGTGTTGGAATTGTTGCTACAGTCATCTGTGGACAAACCACAGTCTGTTGTGTAGAGCCAAAACTAATAGTAAGAGATTGCTGACTATGCCCCGCATAAGATGAGGAATGAGGATGAAGAGCTGATGATTGCTGCGGAGCTGTAACAGAAGGGTAAAACATGTAACTCTGTGGAAACAGAATCCCTGGAGAAAGAGAATTCTCTACAGAAATCATAGGAAAACTTCCGATGGATAAAACGGGGTGTGAAGATGAAGAATGGGTATTGGAACTGCTTGCAGTACTAGTACATTCTGTATCAGTTTTTTCTTTTTTAGTAGAGAAATCAGTAAATTCTCTATGTCTCTTTTTCTTTGGAATTTTTTCATAAGCAAAGCTACGCTTTTCATGTTTATTCCTTTTGGATCCCAAACTGTGTCCTCCATGAGCATCATTAAAAGAACTTCTAACTGTATGAAAAGGTAATTCACAAATGTTCCCATCTTGAAAGTTGTTCCTAGAGAGCCAAATCTCAGGACTACACCTGCTTTTCTCTGGTTTCATAAAACAGCCTGAGTTCAACTTACATTCAGGACTGATCTTGTTATTCAAGGTAGAGGAATGGGAAACTGTCATGGAGGTAACATCAGAAGTTGGAGGTAGTTCAGGAGAAACTGATGGTGTGCTTGGAGGAGTGTCTGGGGGAGTTCTTGGTCCCCTTCTGGTGTGTAGCTGTTCCGAAGAATCCGATCCACTTGTTTGAATAGATTCACTCTGTGAAGTATCTGTATTATGATCTCTTAAATTAGGTGAATTTCCAGAGCCTATTGGATGGACAGCCTTGAATTTAATGGATACTGAATTTTCCTGTCCATTTGATGACGACTGTCCATGCTTTATACTGTCTATAACCCATTTTCTGGATCCAATCTCTCGTAGAGGTTTCATTCCTGTTTTACTGGGAGAACTAGTCTGATACTCCATCTTTCGAACTGGACACTGGTTGTCTGTTTTGTGTTTGTCTAAGACCTTCTTGGGAGGATGATTTGGCATTGAAGCTAAAGCAACAAGTTTTTCGAAACCACTACTAATCCTTGCTTGCCAGTTTTTACCTAGAAAACGCCGTGAACGCTTCTTTTGTGTACCTCTTTTATCTATGTGAAGAAAAAAGGTTTTAGTTTAATTAAAAGAAAAAATCTTCAAAGACAAAAATTGTGACACATATATTAGTCAAAAGAGCTTACAGTGTAGAATATTTAACAACTTTTGTAATACAGTCATATTGTAACACATGCAGATATAACACGGTTTCATAAAACAGGAGAGTTTAATTAAAAGAAAAAATCTTCAAAGACAAAAATCGTGACATATATATTAGTCAAAAGAGCTTACAGTGTAGAATATTTAATAACTTTTGTAATACAGTCATATTGTAACACATGCAGATATAACAAGGTTTCATAAAACAGCAGAGTTTAATTAAAAGAAAAAATCTTCAAAGACAAAAATCGTGACATATATATTAGTCAAAAGAGCTTACAGTGTAGAATATTTAATAACTTTTGTAATACAGTCATATTGTAACACACATGCAGATATTACGGATATCCAGCAAAATTTTAAATTAGCCGAAAGGTAATGATGGATTTGTTTCGTTAACATATTACACGAAAGAACTTTCTTACAGTAGGTTTATAGTGAAACAATAAAGCATATCTTTCTCCATCTCAAGAGCTTCTACAATTAAACAGAAGATATGAAAGTAACATGCTGGAGTATCAAACTACAAAACACAATATTGCCTAGATATGAACAATAATCTGAAGTGCTGAAGAGGTACAAGTACAATGTATTACAGCACGTATTAATCACATTCAAATGTCACATTAATCTATTATACAGATACCTGTTTTTATATTATGAAGTGTTTTGATTAACCAGTGCATAGATGTGTCCTTATTTAATAATTATATTTTCGTTCCCAAAGACATGCTTAAAAAATTAAAATTTTTAAGAGCTATTTTTTATTTGTTTTTGACTAATAAAATTAATAATTTAGAATATATATGTACAAGTCCTTAAATTGGGATAAATATACTAATGATACCTATTGAGACAACTGAATTGCTAAGATACATTTAAAAGATCCTGGAACAGTTAAAAGTTTATAAATTCAACCCCTTGCTTAAGTCTAAAGGCATTATGACATATTTAAAAGGGGCCTTAATCTGTCCAAAGAGTTATCTTAAAAACAACTAATTCACTGAACATTTTTCTTCACCATTTGTTTATGCAATTTTTCTAAAATCAAACTGGCATAAATAAAGCTTCAACTAAATACAGAAATCTTACAAACTATGTACAAAACACTGAATTTTATTTCACCACACTAAGATGTTTGGTTACAGCATATACAGTAATAACAAGAACAAAAAAAAAAAAGAGTACTGAATAATTATAAAATGTTTTTCAGTGTTTTCAAACTCATTGTACTAGTAGTGTTGCATGTTTAAAAGGTTTTAATTTAATATCAAAAACAAACATATTTGGGAAATTGGTCCTTGATAATTGAAAACTAAACAGTGAGAGTAAATTTATATTACTTGAAAATTCATGCTATTAAGCAGTGGGTTCTAACCTTTCATAAGTTATAAAACAGAAAGTATACAACATTTCTAAAATTCACTTTCTGTCAATAAGATAGGGCTCAAAATTAACAGTGGTCAGCTGTAAAAAAACCAGTGGGTTCTAGGTTTTAGCCAGTGGTCATCAAGATGCACTATGTTTTACCCAGTTAATGATAAACATGATTATGAGTATTCAGACTAGTTGTAAAAAGAAAGAAAGCTGGCTGCAAGAACAACCACACTAACAAATTCATTCAATAAGACTTTTCTGCTAATTTGCTGCACCTCGTTCTCACACACCTTTCAATGAGATTCCTATAGTTTAAAATAACATTCAAATACAACAAGTTAGTGTTTTTATATATATATATATATATAGTTCTCAGTTTACATTATGAAATTCAATTATCACAATAACTGACATACACTTGCCAGTGGCTAAAAAACATGACATGGATTTCAATCTCTACATAAATGAATAAAATATAAATAAAATGCATTTTATGATTGTCAAACAGAATTATAATATACTTAGATATATAGGAAATGGGTAAGATTGTTTGTAGTTAAGCACAAAGCTACACAGAGGACAATCTGTGCTGTGCCCAACACAGGTATCAAAACCCATATTATAAGCTTTCGGGATATACCACTGCAAAATTAAGAAATAGCTAAGAAAAAAAAAGTTATAATTTTTACAATGTGTATAGAAATGACTTGATATTAAACTGTTAGGTAGTGCCTGTGGTGAGGTCACCAGAAAGCTTCTTCATGTCTGGAGAGGTTGTCATGTAACTGATAGGCTTACTCTTTGGAATCTTTCAAGAATAACATGAACACGTTCATGAAGAAACTTATATCATCAAACAGCAAAGGTGCAGGTGCTTCATATGAATATTAAAGATTTGTAATATGAAGTCACGTATGTTAATTAAGTTACTAACTGAAACTTGGCACCTTAATAAACATATGCCAATCACGGTAGTGTCCAGTGTGTGTTAAAGAAAATAAATTTATGAATAGTTATTTTTCAATCTAAAAACTTGAATTTGTAATTAAAAAAATAATAATAATAACTTCCAGTCAAAGTAAACTATATGCATATCATCAGCATACATAATTAAATATACTTTTTTAATTATACTTAAAAACATTTTAAGCCATAATCCCAATAATATCTCACAAAGTTTGGCCAACTTGAAATATCTAGGTTAGTCCTAAATACAAATTCTAAGCTAACATTACAAAACAACCTTTATAATAATGAACAAATGAAAATAAGGTAATTACAGTTGTTATGCTAACTAGTATAATTAATATTACTGATGAAAGCAACAACACAGCATAGAGCAGGGGTTCCCAAACCTTTTAGAATCGTGACCCACTATTCATGACCACAGCTTTATGGCGACATATGAAAGAATATAAAAAATATTATTTATTCATACTCACGTAT